CCAGTCGCAGCTCTGATTCGGTTTTCTTTCTTGAGAACTTGGACAAGAGCTGGTCCCTTTCTCTGCCTGGGGCGAGCTCATCTCATGGAGGGTAGTACAGCGCCCTGGGGAGGCAACACCCCACCCAAGGAGTGGCCCCTAGGCCACATAAGGGCAGGGACAGAGCCTGGATGTTGTGAGGGCCTGGAGGCTAGCTCAGCCCTTTGGTGGATTGAGATGGAGAGTCAGTAATAGTGTGGCCTGGTTTCTCTTCTTCCCTGGTTACTTGGGTGAGCCAGAGAGAAGGTGGTGACATCCACGGGTGGGGGTGGGGTGGGACGGTATCTGCTTTCTACAGGCCAGAGGCAACTTGGGAACAGGTCTGTGCCCTGTCACTGACCAAGGAGCCCCACAACCTAACCATTTTTGGAGGGCCTGGCTACTTGATAAGAGTGTCTTTCTTCCCCAACATTCCTGTCTCCTACAAGTCTGATGGCCTTGGCCTCAGTCACAGTGCGCCTCTTTGTAGGCTGAACTTCCTTGTTTTGAGATCTTGTGAAAACCTTCTAGGTCTCTGCCTCAGGTTCCTTTGGGAGAGAAGTTAAGGTAGGAGTGAAGGGGGGTGCCCTGGATAGTCCTGGCTGGATATGAGGGGGCTTCTGAGCACCAAAATGGGGAAGAATTACCTAGAGTCTGCTGGTTCAGGTCCCTCATAAGAGGGGGGGGCCTCAGTTTGGGAGTGACCCAGGGCAGGAACACCCCATCACACTTACCTCACCACCCCCCACCTCTCTCCACCCGGATCTGTGTAGAGAGGGCAAAGAGGAGACTGTCTGGTGAGAAACTCAACAGAATCAGGTGTTACACCCTACGTGATCAGGGCCGGGTAGGCGGCGTGGGTGTCAGATTGAGGGGAGCTAGGACGCAGAAGGAAGAGTGATGGCTGGTGCTTGGTGGGGGGCAGTTTCTTCAGGGCAGGTGAGGACCCTAAGCCTAGTGGCACAGTTCTCAGAGGGCCTTTGTCCTAGTGAGGCTGGCCCTCCTGGGTCAGTAGACGGCTCATCACTGGAGACTTCACCAGCTCTACTGCCCTGCAGAGCCTGTCAGAATCTACCTGCCTGTGTGTGGCACTCAGGGACCAGGATCTTAGCTCTCCTTGAGGTTCATTTTGACTTTTCAGACCTCTGTGCCTTTGTCTAGACTGTTCCCTCTGCCCAGAATGCCCTTCCTCATTCTCCCCCACCTTCCCTTGGTCTGTCAAGGCCACCCCAGAACTATCTTCTTCCATGGCCTTTCTGGATTGCACCCTCCCCACCAGGTAGGATCTTGGCCAGCTTACCTCTCTCTGTATCCTAGTGCTTTACCAAGTGCCTGGCACACAGGAGTCCTGGGGATTTTAAAGCTAATTTGTCCCTGCTGGTGCTCAGAGCTGTCAGTGGGAACCTCAAGGTTCATTGGCCTATCTGTGCTTGCCAGAGCAGGGTGACTTCCCCAGCAGTGGCAGGCCCAGTGGCCTTCTCTCTGCTTTGCAATGAGAAGCCCTCAAAGCAGGAACCTGCTTACCCAGCGCCCAGACTGCTTCTCTGTTGCTACTTCATCCCACCCTGAGGTTGGTATATGTTTAGCCCTGATATATGTTTGTTGACTGACTAGCTGACTGGCCAGTCCCAGGCTCCAAGACTCTGAGGACTGTGGCTTGCACAGAAGACAAAAGTCTTGCTCAGGAAAAACTCAGTTTGAGGTGCCTGAGGGGCAAGTGTGAAACTGTAACCAGTGACCACAGCTGCCAGTGACGGTGGCGCCTCTGGTCAGGGTGAGATTTCTGCAATGACTGAGTCATTTCAGAAGATGGGCTGTTCCTCTTTGTGCATGCAGAGGCCTCTGTGATTGGGCAGACTGCTCTGTGGTGGGGCTAGGAAAAAAAAAAAAAAACCCTTTCAAAAGTCAGAAAACCACACACCACTGTCTGGCCCTTCCTCAGCAGAGTCCAGGAAGAGACAAGCAGTGGTTCAGACTTCACACCCATCCACCTGCCCACTGCCTCCGCATGGGAGCCAGGAGAGACTCCACAGAGGCTTAAATGCAGATTTCCTGGCACAGGTCCACCGAGCCAGGCTCCTGCAGACATAGCCTGAGTGCTTAGTGAATTCTCACACACACAGTCAAGATTCCCACAGGGATTTTCAGCAGGGGTGCAGGACCTGAAGAGGTATGGGGAGCAAGGATTTGAACGTCAACTTACAATCTCTCGTTTGGTGGAGGGAGCACACTGGGGCTGTGGCATACACACCACACATTGGGAGGTCAAAAGACAACCTCCAGTATAGATCTAAACCATCAACCTTGTTTGAGACAGGGTCTCTCTTCTTCAGGATCTCTCTGGCTGGGCCACAAGCCTAACTCTGTCTCCCATCTCCAGGTAGGGGCACACTGGATTACAGAGATGTATATTACTACATCCAGTATGTGTGTATCCTGGGGATTTGTTTTTAAAACAAACGTTTGGAAGTACATTTCCTAGAACATGTATATATTGATGCCCACTTATAAAGTTAGATGTACACACAGAAGTAGAGGTGTACAAATGTATTTTTACTGTTTGAGTCATGTGATTACAAAAATGAAGTCAGGAGAGCTCCAGGCAAGGAGCTTTTCTGTGCCCAGAAAAGTCACTGTTCTCCCTTGAGCCTCGCTCTTATCACTTAGAAGTAGCTTTCTTGAGATGGGAAGGCAGATGTGGGTCAAGCTTCCTGCTGAACTGGCAGAGGGAATGGTATGTGTGGAGGGCATTTAGGGGCTCTGTACTGGGGGACAGAGAAGAGGACTGGGTAAGAGAGAGCAAAGAAGCCCTTGAGCCTGACCCTAGTGCCAGGGTCACAGGGGAGAGAGTTATCCCTGGTTGATGGTGCTCCACTCTTTGCAAAGCTGGCCTTCCCTGGGCTGCATGGTCTCTGGGGAACTGAGTCCAGAAATAACTGTCTGCTGATTGTTCTCAACTACACACTGAAGGTTCCAGAGCAGGATCCAAGAGCTCACGAGCCTGAAGGATAGCTCCAAATGCCTGTGTCTAGAGACTGGGAGCTGTGCCAACCTGGACAGAAGAGCCTTGGCCAGTGGCAGAAAGCTGGTTTCTACTTCGGCCTAGTCCTGAGCCTGTACCATTCTGGGCACAGTCTGCCCTCCCTGGGCTACAGCATTCCCACCTGCAGAGCAAGGCCTTTTTAAGCTCTAACCAGCCACAGCCACTGCACTGAGAAGGCTAGAGTTGTTTGTGTTCTTAACTAAATTTGTTCTTTGCCATTTTCATACATGTATAAAATGCATTCTAATGACTCTTACCTCCAACCCCCTCCACCCTACGGATCCCTTTCGCACACTCACATCTTTTTGTTTTGTAACTCACTGAGTTTAACCAAGGCCATCTGTTAACCATGGATTTGCAGCTATCCATTGGAGCTCGGTGGGCTCACCACTGGGTTACACAGCTCCTCCTCTCCTAGAATCTTTCAGTAGCCAGTAGTTCTGCAGGGAGGGGAAGGGCGGCCCTTCCCCATCCGTAACTGATGATTGACAGAGCCAGGCTTGTGCAGGCTCAGTGCAGGTAACCTCAGCTGCTGACGACAGTTCTTTGAGAGATCAGTGGCTGTGCCCTTATTCTGAGGCCCAGGTTCCTGGGCCCAGCACAGTGATTGATGCAGAGGAAACGCCAAAGAGGTATTGGAAATAGGAGAGTATGAAGGTGATGACTGGAGGAAAAGAGGAAGAGAGAGAAAGAGAGCCCTCCTCTTGGGCCACCCTTCCGTGCCACCTTCCCTCTGTTCCCTCTGTGACCAACCTGCCCACTCTGGTTCACTGTCCCAGAGCAACTGAGAAGGCCTTTTCCACTTGGCCCAGCTCTCTGCTTAGAAGTCACATCGAACTTCTGAGCAGTCCTGGGAAGCTGACTGGTTTCCTCCCAGCCTTCCTTCATTATCTGCTGTCTTTCAGTTACCCAGTCCCACCCATCCTCTGTACTCTTGGACCCCTGGCCTGGAGTGCTGTAGCTCCTCATTACTGAGGTAAGGCTCTCATAACATGAAATTAAAGCAAACCAGTCAGTGGTACCCAGCATATGCACACTGTTGCACCACATCCCTTCTTTCTGCTTCTAGAACATTTTCCTCACCCTACAAGGAAGCTCTATGCCTGTTTAGCAGCTCTGGACCATTTACTCCTCCCTGGCCTGTGGCAGCCATCACTCCCTCTCTGGACTCATCTGGTCTGCGTACTGTGACTCTCAGACTCAGACGCAGATACAGAGTGTGACACTTTGGTTGTTTATCCACATTGTAGCTTGGGTTGGGACTTCATTCTGTTCCTGCTGTAAGACCATTCCTTTCTGTGGCTGAATAATGCTCCATCACATGTAGAGACCACAAATTACTTCTATGTGTGGATAGAGGGATGCCTGGGTTGTCTCCTTTTGGCTGTCGTGAGTGGGGTTGCTGGAACATGTGCAGAGCCATGTTTGTTTGTGTGCCTGCTTTCAATTAAGTTCGGCATTGGGTTCCCTGCTTTCAATCTGAGTTCTTGCCCCGTGCTCTGAGCAAATGGCTTCTATGCCAGTGTGATGCTTTCCCTGGCTTCCTGGGCCTGGAATGGTACATCCTGTGTGTCCCCTGCACTCGTCACCTAGATGGTGGCTGCCTGGTTGGTTATCTGTGCATGTCCTCCCTTGGATGATCAGTGTTGTGAATAGGACCTGTGCCCAGTGCCCACTGACAGAGCCTGGCACTTGGGGAACACCTGCTGCTTAGTGTGCAGCCCGTTAGTTGAATGCTAGCTCCTTATCTTGGGGAGAAAGTGGAATTCTCACCCCAGTGTTGACAAATGACATGACCTCTCCGAGGTCACCCAGCCCTGAAGGCAGAGGACAGAGGGTGGAGGACAGGGCCATCTGACTCTGGGGCCCTTCTGGTAAGTTCTTGTGTGAATAAAGGAGAGCCATGAGGATTGATGTTCATTGGTTGTGTCCCTGACAGGCTGCAGGCAGGATGGCTGGTGCTGAGAGGACTCACCCGTGACTGTGGGACACCTAGCCACAGCTCAGTCTCCTGAAGATGAAGTGGCCCAGGTGAAGGCAGGCCAGGCCCCATGGCCAGCTCAGGGACAGAGACACAGTGGCCAGGGCAGGGCCTGGGGCAGGGACCCCACCGACGGCGCCGGTGCTGGGCCTGGACCCAGGAACAGGACGCAGACACAAGTACCGAGCAGGACTGGGGGAATGAGCAGTCCCTTCCTGAAGCCACCAGCTCCAAGCTCCTGGAGGACTTCCACCACGTCCAGCAGCACCCGCCTCCCCTGGAGTGGGATCCGGACACACAGGAGTCCGGAGAGTCTTCTAGAGAAGGTGAGGTAGACTCCTCTAGTCTGCAGTGGTGACCTGTCCCCCAAAGACCCCACCTTTCAGCAGAGGCAAGGGACTAGGGACAACTTCACAGTTTTTAATTAAATTCTACAAGTTTATAATTAACATTTAAATTGCATAGGTAATAATATGCATTTCAGAAAATGTAAGCAAATAAGAGATAAAATTTAAAATTTCTCATTATTCCAACCATCCCCAGATAAGACCTCTTTCCCATATGCAAATAAATGTAATATGAATATGCAAAGGAATTACAAGCGCTCCATTGTCACCACTTCGTTGTTATTTTTAGAGCTAGGAATATTTTCACAATCTCCCAGTTTTCTTCCACAAGTCTCTCCTAGGACCTGTGTGGAACCATGGTGAGATTCTTCCCATAATCCCTTGGGCCAGTCTCTCCTGCTGGGCAGGTAGTAGCTTCTGGTTTGGGCTATGCTGAATACTGCTGAGGTAATGCTATCCATCCATCTTTGCATCCTTGACATCATCCTGTCTTTGGTAATTTGAGTTGCTTGACCCAGAGCTCATACTTATTTTAAGGATTTTTCTAACTCCAGTCAACAGGAGGGATGTAGCACTTTGGTTTCCCCACCTGTGAAATGGGTGGAATGAAGCCACTGGGTAACAGAAAGCTTGATTTGTGGTGGCTACTCCACCCAACTGTGAATCAAACACCCTCATATTAGGCTCCTGTGAATCAACACCCCCCTCAGACCATACCATTGTGCTGTTACCTTAAGTGCTTTATTCAGGCCCGTCACAGCTGTCCACTTGGGAACCATTTGATCCTTTCTTTGTTTCTTTCTTTTTTAGTACTGGGAATTGGACTATAGGATAAGCAAGTGCTCTAAGACTGAGCTATAGCCATAGATGTTTTTTAAAATGTATTTTGACTGGGTATGGCGATACATGCCTTTCATCCCAGCACTCAGGAGGAAGAGGCAGGCGGATCTCTGTGAGATGGAGGCCAACCTGGTCTACATAGTGAGTTCTAGGTCAGCTGGGGCTACGTGAGATCCTGTCTTAAAATTTTTTAAAATTGTATTTTGAGACAAAATCATTTCTGATCTTGCTATCAGGGAGTGCAGCCTGAGATGCTCAGGGTGATAGGCAGAAGTGCCTCTTCCTGGGGTCACTGGGTGACTCTTTGCTATGATGTAACAGCAGTTCTCATGTCCTGTGTCCTACTTCCCTCCCTCCACAAAACTCTGCAGGTAGGAAGAGCAAGCCTCAAGTTTAAATAGGGACTGCCAGGGGGCAGAGACTTGCCCATAGCTTCCAGACACAGGTCAGAGGATCTCAGAGTGAGCATAGGGTTCCCTGGATCCTGGGCTTATACCCTTCAGTGCCTGCATGATCTCTGTGGAAGACACTTGCCTGAGGCCTGAGTTCAAAGTTCAGGACTTCTAGGAAGCACTGTACAATCTTTTGGCAAGTCTCTGGCATCTCTGGGATTTGGAATTGCTGTTGTAAACTAGAGTGACTTGCTGAAGGCAGTTTTAAGTAGACAGGTGGTATACCCTGGTCAGGAGTAAGGGAAAGAGCAAGGTGGAACAGCAAGCAATACAAGGCTTACGACAAAGGTGCCTCCATTCAGAGAGGAGTCTGTGCAACGTTAGCCAGTGTGTCTCCTGAAAAGCTCAATCTATCTTAGAGACCCATAAAGGGGTAGAGCAGACTAGATAAACGTAGCTGCTTGAAGGATGGATAGGTGGGTGGGTGATGGCTGGGTGATAGATGCTTGAAAGGATGGGTAAGTGGATGCATGGATGGATGCTGGATGCATGGATGCTCGAAAGGATGGGTGGATGGATGGATGGATGGATGATGGCTGAGTGATAGAAGTGTGTGCAGATGTTTGAAAAGATGAGTCGGGGGGCTGGAGAGATGGCTCAGTGGTTAAGATCACTGTTCTTGCAGGAGACTTGGGTTCGAATCCCAGCGCCCACCTGGCAGCTAACAACTCTCTATAACTCTAGTTTCAGGGGATCCGACAGTCTCTTCTATCCTCCGTGGGCATTGAACAACACGGGTACACTTACCTACATGCAGGCAATACATGCATACACATAAAATAAAAATAATAAAATATTAAAAAAAGAAAAGATGAGAAGATGAGTGGGTAGATGTATGGATGATGGATGGCTGGATATTTGAAAGGGGGAATGGATAGGTGGATGATGGGTAGGTGGGTGCTATATGACTAGATAGATGCTTGAAAAGGTGAGTGGTGGGGATGAATGGATGGATGATGGATGGATGAGTGATGGTTGGAGGTGGATGGGGAAGTGAGTGAATGGATGGGTAGATGGATGAATATTTGAAAGGATGAATGGATATGTGATGGATGGATATGTAAAGGCTCTGCTTTTGTGCTGGGAACAGCAGGGATCATGATGAGATTCAGGTGGGGGATGGGGGTGACTATGGGGAGGAGATTAAGTGGCTATTGCATCAGTCCAAGCATGAGAAGACTTTGGCCCAAGCTCTGTAGGAGGTAAGTGGGACAGGGCAGGGGACAGGCTGGATCAGGGCTAGGGAAAGAAAGACAACCAACATGCCTCCCAGACTCGGCATTATGCAACTGCATGGGTTGGTGTTGCTGTCTGTGAAGACGGGAAACACTTTGGGGAGACTGAGTCAGAGGCTTGAGTCTGGAGGGTCTTAGAATGACCAAAGGAGGAGTCAGGTAAGTACCTGGCTATGTGGGGTGTGTCTGGGTTCTTGCCACCCCCACATCATGAAGTCATGAATCAACTCAAGTGGTGCTGTAGACCCAACATGTGCTCAGTGATGAATGACCTGTCTTTCCAGAGACTGAAATTGATGATGTGAGCAGCCCAGAAGGTTCCACCCTGCCTCTGCCCTGGCTCCCAAGGCATAATCAACTGCTGGAGCTGTCTGAAGAGGAGCTGGATGAGGCCCCCAGAAGCCCTGAGGTGGATGCAACTGGAGAGAGATGCCCAGGGCTGGAGTGTGAGGACCAAGAAGATTCCAACTCTGTAACTTTGGGGCAGGGGCCAGCCAGAAGCTGGGTGACCTCCAGTAAACAAGGTGATGGACATGGACCTTCAGGGCATGCCAAGGCCTATCCATCTGTTGAACTCAGCCCCGCAAGGTCTTGGAGTAGTGGGGCTGTAAGCCTAGGCTACCCTAGTGACAGCCTTAATTACACCTGGGAAGGGGACACTGATGTGCCCCAGTCCACTGCGCTGGTGGACACCCTGCCACAGAGCCCACACCACCACTTCCCACACCCAGATGACAGAGCAGAGGAGGTGAAGTTGCTCTGGCAACATCCACAGAATTCCAGGACTCCTTAGCAGTGCCAACTCAGAACCCCCAATGCTCCGTAGCCACATGGGGGCGCAAGACCACCAGCCTGCCCAGCTCTCTGCCCAAGGACCCAACCTGGAAACGAACTAAGACGTCACCCAAGCCACTGCCCTCCCGATTTACAGGCTCCATCAGCCCCCTGAGTACTCGGCTTGGGTCAATACAGGAAGTCAGGTCACCACACAAGCAGCGAGCCACTCTGGCTAGCCACTCTTCTTCAGAATCCCCCAAGTATGGTCGGGGGCGCCTGAACTATCCGCTCCCTGACTTCTCCAAAGTGGGGCCCCGGGTAAGATTTCCCAAAGATGAGAGCTACCGGCCTCCCAAGTCCAGAGGCCACAATCGGCAACCTCAAGGCCCCACCAGGCCCCTGATCTTCAAGTCACCAGCAGAGATTGTGCGGGAAGTGTTGCTGAGTAGTGGAGAGGCATCCCTGGCCAAGGACCCTCCTGCACATCCCATCAGCAGGGTGCCCCAGGAGTTCCAGACACCAGAACAAGCCACTGAGCTGGTTCATCAGCTCCAGGTAAGCAAGACTCTATGTCTTTGAGTATCACTCAGGCAACTGTTGGAGTGGGGAGGTGTTGTCTCTGGGCTGAAGCCCTCTACCACTGAAGGGAGAGTTGTCCCTGTGTTCAAAAGAGCAGTGTGTGGGGACATAGCTCAATTGGTAGAGTACTCTTGTATAACATGCATGAAGCCCTGGGTTAGATCCCCAGCATTGCACAAACTGGACATGGTGGTACATGCCTTTGTGTGTATGTGGAGGCCAGGAGGATCAGAAGTTCCAGTCTTCTTCAGCTTCAGGGCAAGTTTGAGGTCAGCTTGGACTAGAGATCCTGTCTTAACGAACAAACAAGCAAGCAAGCAAACAAACAAACATAAACTCCTCCAAAAAACAGATCAGTGAGCAAGCCCACACTTTGGGCTTATTTTTTTAAAGATTCACCTCAGGAATGATCTGTTTATTTTCAACTTCTGCTGTATATATAAAAAAAAATCTCTGGAAAACAGGGGACTAGAGAGGTGGCTCAGCAGTTAAGGGCACTAACTGCCCTTGCAGAGGACTTGGGTTCGATTCCCAGCACTCACATGGTGGCTAACAACCGTCTGTAACTTCAGTTCCGTGGGATCCAACGTCCTCTTCTGACCTCCATGGGCACTGCATGACATGACCTATGTACATGCAAGCAATACACCCGTACACATTAAATAAATTTAAAAAAATCTCTGGAAAGCAAATTGTCTGATGGCCATCCTTGCCCTGCTGCAGTGTCTACATGGAGCAGCTCCAGTGAGCTCTTCCTGTGGACCCCTCTCTCTTCCCTCACCCCCACAACCCCCGCTGAATTATTTTGAAGCATAATTCCAGGCATCCAGTCTTTTTGTATTTTGGTCTCTGTGTCTAACTCAAAAGAACCTTATTTTAGAGCTGGGCTTAGTGGTGTATGCCTTTGATTCCAGCTCTCAGGAGGCAGAGGCAGGCAGATCACATAGAGATCGAAGCCAGCCTGGTCTACATAGTTCCAGGCCAGCTGGGACTACAGGGAGACCCTGTCTCAAAAAAATCAAAGTAAATAAGTATCAAATAAATAAATAAATAAATACACCCTTTCTCAAAACACCAAAATAAGTAAATACATAAAATAAATAAAACCTTATTTTGACTTAATTCCATTGCTATACCCAAACATTTATACCAGCTCCTCAGTGCTGTGGGGTCGCATGCTGAGGCAGTGTACAAGTCCCTACGTACTGGGGCACTCGGTGGTGGCTTTTTCTTTCAGTCTGCTGAGATGGGCCAAGGTTAGTGGGTAGCAGTTGACCCCTGTGTCTTTCAGGTCTCTCAAGTTCCTCTTGTGTTTCTCCTTCCCTCTTGTTCTTGCTACTCTGACGTTCTCCTGTAGTTGATGGTGGGGTTGGGTCTGCTCTGCTGTCACCCACCCTGTGCTCTGTTAAAGTGCAAGCTGCATCACAGAGACCACTGTGTCCTCCCTCTTCCCTGCCCGGCAGTACACTTAGAGCTGGAGGATTTGGTTGTTGTCACCTTTGTCCCCCTCACCACCCCCCACCCCCAACCATGAGCCAGGGAAGGACTCTGTGAGAGTCCCTCAGGAGGCACAGCCACCAGCAGCCTCTCTGTTGTGACATGAGCAGCCCTCAGCAGTCACAGCCTTGTTCTGGCCCTTCCTCCCGAGTGACTCAAGTGACGAGTGACGAAAGAGGAATGTTCTGATATGGCTGCTCCTCTGGACACATTTCTGTGAATCTTCTAGAAAGTAACATCTTCCCTTATCAACCATGTGGTTACCAAGATCTTGTTCAAGTGGAGAAAACAAGAAATGCTCAAGTGTGCTTCCCTTCCCTCCCCCCCTTCCCTTCCCTCCTTCCCTTCCCGCCTTCCTTCCTTGTGTGCATATGTGGAAGCCAGAGGTCCACATTGAGTATCTTTCTCTATCACTCTCTACCTTATTTTTTTAAGATTCATTTATTTTTATTTTATGTATATGAGTTGTTTTGCCTGCTTGTATACTCAGAAAAGGGCATCTGATCCCCTGGAACTGGAGTTACAGGTGGTTGTGAGCTGGCATGTAGGTGTCAAGAACGAACTCAGGTCTCTTGTAGGAGCAGGCAGTGCTCTTAACTGCTGAGCCATCTTTCCAGCCCTCCACCTTATAGTTGAGTCAGGGTCTTCCTCGTGAGGATGGAGCTCACTGATTCAGGTAGGCAGTGGAATCCCTCCCACCTCTACCCCCCGTGCTAGGGTTACAGGCATGCATAGCCACACCTAACTTTTTTACACTTGTGTTGAGGATTTGAACTCAGGACTTCATGCATGCACAGCAAGCACTTTACCGACTGAGCCATCTCTGTATCCATGAATCTTTCCTTTTATAATAACAACTCATTTTCAGAATGAGTGACTTTCTGGCTTCTTCCACAGCTCACTAGAGATACTTGCTTTTGTTTTTGTTTTTCCCTGAAATGAGTTGTTTTGATGAAACTCTAGATTTGTGTAAAACCAATGATCCTAATTGGAAAAGAGCTGACTTTTAAGTAGTTTTCTTTCCTTGTTTTGGTGTGTGTGTGTGTGTGTGTGTGTGTGTGTCTGTGTGTAGATGTTCATATATGTGCACATGTGAACACTTGCATATGGAGGCCAGCAGTCAACCTTGGGTGTCTTCCAAAGTTATACTTCACTCTGGTTTTTGTGTGTTTTCTGAGACAGGGTCTGCGCTGGATAGCTTCAGTGTCAACTTGACACACCTGAGTTGAGAGAGCTTCAATTGGGGAATTGCCTCTATTGGACTGGCCTGTGGCCATGTCTGAGGGCATCTTCTTGATGAGTGATGTGGGAGGGCCCAGCCCACTGTGGGTGGTGCCACCCCTGGGCAGGTGGGCCTGTGTTGCATAAGCAGGCTGAGCGTGGGCCAGGGGAGCAAGCCAGTAAGCAGTGTTCCTCCATGGCCTGTGCTCCAGCTCCTGCTTCCAGGTTCCTGCCCTGAGTTCCTACCTTGGGCTCCCTGATGAACTGCGACCTGGAAGATGTAAGACAAATAAACCCTTTCCTCCCCAAGTTGGTAGTGGTCAGAGTATTTTGTCACCGCAATGAAGAACAAACTAGAACAGGGTCTTTCACTTTTACCTGGAGCTAGCCAATTCTAGGCTGGCCGGCCAGACAGTTCCAGAGATCTATCTGTCTAACTCTGCTAGCCAATTCTGGGCTGGCCGGCCAGACAGTTCCAGGGATCTATCTGTCTAACTCTGCTAGCCAATTCTGGGCTGGCTGGCCAGACAGTTCCAGGGATCTATCTGTCTAACTCTGCTAGCCAATTCTAGGCTGGCCGGCCAGACAGTTCCAGGGATCTATCTGGCTAACTCTGCTAGCCAATTCTAGGCTGGCCGGCCAGACAGTTCCATGGATCTATTTGTCTAACTCTGCTTTTTCAAGCGTGCACCGCTGGCTGGCCAGACAGTTCCATGGATCTATTTGTCTAACTCTGCTTTTTCAAGCGTGCGCCGCCACATCTGGCTTTTTCACTTGGATTTTGAGGGCTGAACTCAGATCCTCATACTATATGACTTGGGGTGACCACATCTTCTCTCTACAGGAGGATTATCACAAGCTTCTCACCAAGTACGCAGAGGCCGAGAACACCATCGACCAGCTGCGCCTTGGAGCCAAGGTAGGATGGCTCAGGCTGAACTGGGCCCAGCAGGAGCAATTCCGATGGCCTGGGTCCTCAGGGAGATGGCTTCTACCCAGATGACCCAGAGTCCTAGAGAGAGGCCACTACCTTTTACATCCTGAGATCCTGGGACTAGAAGAGCCTCAGTCCTCCACCACCTGGTCCTTTTGTGACCTTGGCCTTGCTCTCCATGGGCTCTCCCTCATTGTTGATATCCTTGAATGATGGAGCCTGGGGAGCCCAGGAATGCCACCAGGAGATTCTCTATGATTCTGGGGTAGGAACACCTAGGCTGACTCCTGACTCTACTCCTCACTAGCTGTGAGAAGTTCAAGACGTTGCTGTGCCTCTCTGAGCTCAAGGCTGTAGCCCAGACTCTGCTCAGTCCCCGAGGCCCCGCTCTTCTTCCTGGGTCATACTTCTTATTTTTGTCCTTCTGCATCTCCCAACATCTTCCCCACTTTTACCCCCTTTGGAACTGAGCACTGCCTGCGTGGCAGGAGTGTCCTGGAGGGGCATCTCATCTACCTGAGGGCCAGCATGCCTCTCAGCCCTACTGTCTTTAGAGCAGCCTGGGAGTCCTGACCTTCCTCTTTCCTGGGCTGAGGCAGGAAGTGGGCCCATCACAGCCCTTGTGGGCACCAGCTTCCTGCTTTCCTGCCCAGCAGGGAGGAGGTAGGACAGAGAAGCACCTTCCCCTGATGCTCCCGTTGCCTGGCTGTTCCTCTAGGAGAGGAGCACCCCATCCTCGTGCAGAGTCCCCCCTCCCCCCCAATCATGCTTCCCCCTGCTTAGTACTGACCTGATGTCTACAGCCACTTCTGAGGAGTGTGAGTGGAGGCAGCCATGGCCCGTTGTAGGACCAGGGATTCCCTGTTCCCACATTTGTGGCCCTGCCGGATGTAGGCAGGACCCTTCCCATCTGGATTCCTGGGCTTTTCTGTTAGGGGGCGATCAGACCTGGAAGCATACTAACCCCACTGATGTCCTAAGGTACCCCCAGAGCTCCAAGTGCTGAAAAGGAATAGGGGACTGGATGAGAAGGGCTGGAGGGAGAGCTCATAGGTAGAGTGAGGCGGGGGAGGGCTCACAGGTAGAGAGTAGGGGAGGCTGGGTGGCTCAGCACCAACTATAGTCTGCTGCTTTCGGAAAGATGACTCCTTGCCTGAGGGTCCTGCTCGAGGGAAGAGTGAGCACAGTCAGGGGATTCAGCTGAAAGTAGCCTATAATTCCCTTCACTTCAGTCTTACTGCCATCTAAGGAGCAACTGGAGAAGGGCTTGTGACTTCAACCCGCTGTGAAAACAGGGCCAAAGCCAACAGATACCTCACTCTGCATCCCTGTGTCATCCATCCAAAGGCTCAGGAGAGCCAGAAAGTGTCCCGCTCAAAGCCCACATCAGAGAGCCCCAGTGATGGGGTCTGACTCCCATAGGCCTCCTGTTTTATCTTTATTGAACATTGAACATGACCTCCTTACCGAGCCTTTCCCTCTCCTCAGAACTCACAGCAGTGGAAGGCAGGCTGGGCCCACCTCACAGGGAACCAGGTGGGATTTATCCTGATATCCAGGTCACCTTTATGGTGAGTGACTGGGAACCATGGTCCCATGGAAAGGAGACTTGACATTAGCTGAGCCAGTCAGAGGCAGCAGGCCCAGGCTGACGGTGTCCACTTTGCCCCGCTTCTACCTGCAGAAATGAGGCTAAGCCAGGAGCATACCACAGCAGATGTGAAAGGCAAAGGGGGCTGCCCATGCTAGATGATGTGTTTACCCCAGCTCCACCCAGGCCCTGGCCTTGTGGTGATGGGCCTCAGGACAAGCAGGTGATGATAGTAGCCATCAATGTTGTCTATTGACTGCTGTCTTAAGAGAGGTCAAGCAACTGGCCCAGGATCACACAACACAAAGTTACTAGAGCTAGAGTTTGACCTTAGAGATCTGAATACAGCACCCACAACTCGCTCGCCCTGCCAGAACCAAGTCAGTACCCACTGGATCCACAGCCAGAGAAGCGGCCAGGGAAGGTCAAGGCCAAACCTGGGAACACTGTGGATCCCGGAGCTGGGAGGATTGGAGCAGAGGGCCAGGACTAGTCATGACTGGGCTCTATTCTCCATGCTGGCCTCTGGCTAGAGTCTATGGTGATGTCACCACTTGCTGTCCTGTTCCCTACCCCCAACTCCTGTCCCTCTTGTCTCAGCTGCCGGGGGATGCAAAACAGCTGAGGGGCCAGAAACTCCCCCAGAAGGAATTGGGGAGTGATGTAACCACCTTTCCTGAACTAGGTTCTGCTGGCTGCCCGTGATGGAGTATGGGACGATGCGGGGGCGGGGGGGAGGACATCTGTGCACAGAGGAGTTGGGGAAGCACTCCTCTCTCCCTCCCCTCCTGCCCCATTCATAGAGCCCATTAGCATTTTAAGGGCTTGGAGACTCCATCTGTGCCGAGAATATTAATTTGTTTAACCCAGTGTTTCCCAAAATCAGTGGCACTAGTCTACCCTGCATAGGTTACCCTGCACTGAGTCCTGAGGGCTTCAGAGAGTAGCACCCTAGAGTAGGTCCACTGTGTCCAAGAAGGCAGGTCATGGGAGGGACAGGCCAGAGCAGCTCAGTAGTTCTTAAGCCCCCGCCCTCATTCCCACTTCCTCTGAGCTCACACACAAGCATGAGGTTCTGTTCCCCTCATTCTCATCCCCTGGATCTAGGAGCTGCTAGGTTCCTGCTATTCCCCAGGTGGTGCTTTGGCACAGTGGGGAGGGAACTCAGGAGGGCTGGACCTCCTCTGGGTATTTGGGTCACCTCAGGAGGAAAGAGGCACTGATGGACAGGTGCCCAGAGGCAGAGCTGAGCAGATGGCCAGGGGATTAGGAAAATCCAGCTTTGTTTTCAGCTGGCAAGGCTCAGGCTAGAGGAGGGGGAGGCAGTGCATCCAAGTCATGCTTGGAGCAGCCCAGCCTTAATGAACAGTATAAGCAGGGGGCTTCCTGACTGGGGAATGGAGAACCCCTAAGCCAGGCCCATCTTCAGCTGCCCAGGCCTGACCTTGGGACAACAGAGAGCAGCCTGGATGGCCCACATGACCTCTTAATTAGACACCAAGTAACCGTAGAGTATAGCTTTCTCATTGACCTGCCTTCATGGTGGCCATATGCATAAGGATAAGGATGATGATGAGGATGGTGGGATGACAATGAAGGTGATGGTGATGGTAGTGATGGTGGTGATGGTGACGTTGGTAGTGATGATGATAGTGATGATGATGGTGGTGGTGAAGATGGTTGTACTGATGATGAAGATAATTGTGGTGGTGGTGGTGATGATATGGTAGTCATGATGGTGGTAATGGTGATTATGGTGATGTGATGGTGGTGATGGTTGTGATGAAGTGGTGATGGTGACGTTGGTAGTGATGATGATGGTGGTGGTGAAGATGGTTGTACTGATGATGAAGATAATTGTGGTGGTGGTGGTGATATGGTAGTCACGATGGTGGTAATGGTGATTATGGTGATGTGATGGTGGTGATGGTTGTGATGACTATGGTGATGGTGATGATGATAGGGCTGATGGTTATGGTGATAGTGAAAATGGTGATGATGATGATGATGATAATGATGATGTGGTGGTGGTGGTGGCGATTATGGTGATAGTGATGATGATGGTAGTCATGATGGTGGAGATGATGATTATAGTGATGGTGATGGTGGTAATGATTGTGATGACTATGGTGATGGTGGTGATGGTGGTGGTGATGATAATGCTAGTGACAATGATGATGATGACGATGATGTGCTGGTGATGATGGTGATAGTGATGATAGTGGTCATGGTGGCAGTGAGCAAGATGGTGGTGGTGGTGGTGGTGATGGTGGTGATGGTGGTGATGGTGATAGTGGTGATGATGGTGACAATGCTGAATGTGCAGGTGGCAGCTACTGTCTACTGAGCACTAACTTCATGGATGGACCTGTCAGCTATGTCATCTGCTCTAGGACTCAGAAATGTACAGTAACTGAGCCTGGATGGAGCCTGGCCAGTCTACAGCACCCCCACTAAGGGTTAGACATACAGCATTTTCAGCTGCAGCTTGAACAGCCTCTGTCACAGCTACCTAGCTCTGCTGCTGTGGGAGGAAAGCCACCATCCACGGTGCACGAATGACAGGCATGACCAGGCCTCATGCACCCATGTACAAAAGCAGATACTGGTCCCACAACCCTATTCCACACCCTTGCTTAGAACTGGCTTCCTTCCCCTGCTGAGCACGAGTGCGCTTCCTGGTCAGCTTCTCCACATTCTGCACACCATCTTCAAATGATGGACACAACTCCCAGAATTCCTCTGTACACGTGATGTCTCCATTCATTCAAGCAGCCATTGAGGACCCAGGTTTGGTTCCCAGCACCCATGTGGTGGCTAACGACCAACCATAACTCTAGTTCCAAGGGTACTGCCTCTTCTGGCCTCCAAGGGCACTGCATGCATGTAGTGCACTTACATATGTGCAAGTAAAACATTCATACACATTTAAATTTTTTTTTGCCTCTCTCACACAGAGATCTGCCTGCCTCTGCCTCCCGAGTGCTGGGATTGAAAGCATGCACCACCACGCCTGGCCAATTTTTTTTTTTTTTTAAGATGGAATGTCCCCAGCCCAAGTCCCCTGATTTCTTTATTTTTATTTATTTATTTTTTATTATTTGGTCTTTTTTGAGACAGTGTCTCCCTGTAGGCCCAGCTGGCCTGAAACTCACTATGTAGGCCAGGCTGGCCTCAAACTCACAGAGATCCACCTGCCTCTGTTTCCTAAGTGCTAGGATTAAAGGTGTGCACCACCACACCCAGCACACATTTAAATTTTTAAAAATATTGATGATTACTACATACGAATTAGAATTGTATAATAACAAACATTAGTAACTATTATGTTATCAGTATAAAACCATAGGCTTTGGGGTAAAGTGGTATTATAATCTAGTCTAAGGACTTGGTGAACTCATGGAACTAAACCTCTTAGAGTCTTAGTTTTCTCTTGAGAAATGGGGCAGGTGGTCCCTGCCTACCCTACTTGCAAGACCTCTGTAAAACAAATAGGAAGGGCATGTAAGCCCTTTGCCAGCGTGAGCTCCATTGAAATGTGGTGTTCATTGCCAGGGTGAGTGTGGGGATCCTGTGGGAAGCACAGATAAAGCCTGTAAGGCAGGTGCAGTATGGCATTTCCTGTGAGCTTGCCCTCCCTGACTCTGCCCCTCCGTGCCTCCCTCCTCCTCAGGTACACCTGTATTCAGACCCTCCCAAGCCTAGTCAGAGTGTCCACTCTGGGTTGGTGTCGCAAGGAAGCAAAGTCTTGTCCTTCACCATCCCACAACCCCAGTCAGCAGAGTGGTGGCCTAGTCCCGCTCAGGACGCACAGACTTCTGGGGCTACAGGTGAGTTAGAGGGAGGGGGGCATCCAGGGCTTACCAGCCTCCTCCTGCATGTGACTCTGCACCAGGACACTTGATCTACCCTGGGATGACGCTGGCTTAGAGCCAGGGAAGCAGAACACCAAGGTCCTCTTAGGGCCGATTGACTTGACTAGGCCTACCCAGGCTGGGCCACCTGGACTTTTGGCTCTATGAAGTGAGTAGTGTTCTCATGGAGCCTGCTGCCAGGCAGGCCCCACGCTGAAATGGACACTCATGACCCCAGTTAGTCCCCACATGGAGCTTGTGAGGATCACACCCTTGTTATCCCCATGATAGTCAGGAGACTAGGGTTCAGGGAGGTGAAGGCATGTTGAGGATCACACAGCTCAGAAAGGAAAGGGCTAGGACTCAAACCCACATCTCCCTGAGTTAGAGTCCATACTTATTATGACTGAGACCCCCCCAGGCCTGGCATGCCCCTGCCCCTCTCAGCTTTAATCTAGGGTATATCCAAGCTTCATTCTCTCTAGTATGGCAGCAAGGTGGCCAGCCCTCTTCCTGGGCTGATGTGAATGTGATCAGAGGGGGCAGGCTATGGCTTGGTGGCAAGGTGGTCTGAGGTAAGCTTTAGGCCTTCAGCCTCTGGGGACTGGGAAGCTGCCCTTAGCCCCAGGGTTCAGCAGCTGTATATTTCAGGGTGGCCGCCCCCACGAGCAGACCTGAGTCCCTCCTCATCCCTCAGCATGCCCACCCCAGGGAGGCTTCCAGAGAACCAGGGCACTGCCAGGGACCAGCCTTCTGCAGAACAGACCCAGGAGCTGACCTCTCAGGCCAGCCGGCTCCTGTCCAAGGTGAGTGGACCCCAGCTTCAACCCATGAGACACCTTATCTAGAGGACATGGGACCTCTGCCTGGGTCAGATGCTTCCTCCAGCCCCACATGCTGCTGCCCTATTTCTGTGGGATCTAACTCAGTCATCCAGAAACCTGACTGTCCTCCCTGCCCTCAGGGTCGTGGGGCACCAGCCAGCTTGTCCCCCAGGGCAAGATTGACTCCTGTCTTTTAACCTTGTCTCGTGTCACAGCCCCTCCAGTTGGGTTTGGCTGTGTCCCCTGGTTGTCCACAGGGAGAGTCTTGACTCTCCGCTGCCCTATTTCTGTGGAATCTAACTCAGTCATCCAGAAACCTGACTGTCCTCCTTGCCCTCAGGGTCGTGGGGCACCAGCCAGCTTGTCCCCCAGGGCAAGATTGACTCCTGTCTTTTAACCTTGTCTCGTGTCACAGCCCCTCCAGTTGGGTTTGGCTGTGTCCCCTGGTTGTCCACAGGGAGAGTCTTGACTCTCCCAACTCTGCACACCCTGTCACCCTTCCTTTCCTTTTCATCACAGATTTCTCTGTTCTTGGTTTTTTCACTGTGGAACTCACTCCTGTTGCCTCTCAAGGGAATTTTATGTTTTCTGGGAACATTCCAGGTCCCTGAACTGTCTGCAGGTCTTTAAAATTATTTTTTTGCTTTTTATTTATTTTTACTTTCTGTGTGTGACTGTTTTCTAACTATATACTTGGCTTTATTCCAAAAGTGCCTAAAGTGACCTATGAAGACACTTAACACTTTAACCACATTCTGAAAACGGAAGTGGGGGAGCTAGGGCAGAGGGGAAGTACACTTAGAGAAAAATAAGTTAACCTAACATGAAGCCAGTAAACAAGGTGTTCTGAGCAGCCCGGAGCCCCAAGCTAGAGTTACACCTTGGGCTTTGAGCTTCCTAGTTGCCATTGCAAAAATGTAAACACAGTTGTTACATTACCTTCTCCATAAAGCAATTACAGAACAACACCGCCACCTTTCTTTCCCTTCCTTCCTTTCATTTTCTTTGTGTGTGTGTGTGTGTGTGTGTGTGTATGTGTGTGTGTGTATGTGTGTGTAACGACTTCACTGAGATACATTTCACATACTACACACATAACTCATTTCAAGTGTGAGCAAGTGTGAGTTTTCATGTCTCTATCACCACCATTCCTGGTTCTGAAACCAGAACAGTGTCTCTCCAGCCACCCTGAGCAGGCACAGCACGCAGCCAACTCTCCATCCAGAGCCACCCAGTCCTACTCAGGAGCTGCTGGCCCTGGTGACTGTTGGGATGGGTTTAAGTGAGGACCTTTTGTGAGTGCCAAACATATCAGAGTTTAAAGACATATCCAAAAAGAGACTCTGAGGTATCTCACAAACATGGTGGCTCTCAGCTGTAATTCCAGAACTTGGGAGGCTGAGACAGGACTATCACCTGGAGTTTAAGGCCAGGCTGAGTCACATAGTTCCAGGAGAGCCTGCGGTACACACACACACACACACACACACACACACACACACACACCCCTTACTGGACTCACTAGTAATTTTTATATTGATTACATATCAAAATGATATTTAGCGTCAAATAAAATGTATCATTAAGGACTGGCAAGATGATTCAAGAGGACACTTGCTACCAAGCCTGATGATTTGAGATTGAACCCCAGGACAAACAAGTTAGAAGGAGAAACTGACTTCCAAACATTGTCCTCTGACCCCTATGCATACACCATGGCATAAGCACATACATACACACACACACACACACACACACACACACACACGCACACACACATACACACACACGCAATAAATAAATAAGTAAATAAATGCACAATTTTTAAAATATTAATATGTTGCCGGGTGTGGTGGTGCATGCCTTTAATCCCAGCACTAAGGAGGTAGAGGTAGGCAGATCTCTGTGAGTTCAAGGCCAGCCTGGTCTACATAGTTAGTTCCAGGACAGCTGGGGCTACAGGGAGACCCTGTCTCAAAAAGACCAATTTTAAATTATACATGTAGCTCACATATTTCTATTTTATATAAATAATATATTTATTTATTTATATTTTATTTATTTAATTTTCTGTTTTTTGAGTCAGGGTTTTCCCTGTAGCTCCAGCTGGCCTGGAACTCACTGTTTAGACCAGGCTGGCCTTGGTTCAGAGATCCACCTGCCTCTGCCTCCCGAGTGCTGGGATTAAAGGTGTGTTTTTTTTTTTTATGTGTATGAGCATATTGCCTGCATGTATATAAGCACGTGTGTTGTACAAAGCCCATGGAGTTCAGAAGAGAGTGTTAGATCCCCTGGAACTGGAGTTATGAATGGTTGTTAGCCATCATGTGGGTGCTAGCAATCAAACCCAGGTCTTCTTAAAGAGCAGACAGTACTTTTAGCCACTGAGCCATCTCTCCAGCCCTTATTTTTACTTTTTTATGTGTATGAGTGTTTTGCCTTGCATGTATGTAAGTATACCATGTGCATGCAGTACCTGAAGAGGCCAGAAGAGGGTGTGGATCCCAATGGAACTGGAATTACAGGTGGTTGTGAGCTGCTGTATGAATGCTGGGAACCAAACATGGATCCTCTGGAGATCAGCCAGTGCTCCTAACTGCTCCAGACCCAAGTAACATATTATGATTTAATCACACAAATTGTTTTCAGCCCTGATCTATAGCCTCCCTCAAAGTGAATTTCAAATGTGCCTTCTCATTTTTAATTTTGAAAATATTTTTGTCTGCAGCGCAAGGCTAGAACTCGAGCCTTAGCACTATACCACTGAGCCACATCCCAGCCTTAGACTGATGTCATAAAGGATAGGTTCAGTGCAGTAAGCCTTCTCCCACCCACAGAGGATTGTACGGGTTCCATGCAGACACAACACCATTTTATATAAGAAGTTCAGCATCTTATATTTAGATAACTATGGCAGCTGGGGGTCCTGGAACCACCTCCCATGAATACCATGGGACAAGTGTACAGAACTATGTATTCTTATTTCTCCTTTCTGCTTCCCATACAGTTTATACAGTGGCAGCACATAACAGACACTGTTCTTACCTTGGTTTGGTCCTGAAAAATGGGCCCTGGAGGCCCTTACGTATGAGAACATCATCATGCCCCTCTTGTTCTTGGTGGCTGCACACTGTTCCTCACACAGGCGCATGGGCTTTTATGTACAGAACTATGTATTCTTATTTCTCCTTTCTACTTCCCATACAGTTTATGCAGTGGCAGCACATAACAGACACTGTTCTTACCTTGGTTTGGTCCTGAAAAATGGGCCCTGGAGGCCCTTACGTATGAGAACATCATCATGCCCCTCTTGTTCTTGGTGGCTGCACACTGTTCCTCACACAGGCGCATGGGCTTTTCCTGCTGGCAGTCATGCCACAGAAAATGGTGCTCATAGGTCTCCCCACGTGAGTGTGCTTCCTGGCTTTTTCCCAAGGCCATCCTAGCTGAGGCTGGTAGTGGAGTCAATTGCCAGTCCCCCCGCCCTCCATTGTACAGGCACTCTACCTCCTGAAACCTGGCAGCTCTTTCTGCCCAAGCACAGAGTGTCCGAGTGTTGAGTGTCATTGAGGTCTAGGTTCATGGAGTTTCTTTACCTCTCAATGTCCAGGTGGAATGCTTCGAGGGACTGGTACTGACCGGATGCCTCCCACTCCAGGACCAAATCAAGGTACCACCTAGTGCAGCAGGTGCACCAACTCTCAGATGGCCTGTCCCCAGAGCTGAGTATCTGAAACTCCTTTTGCTGAAGACAGATAGCCGTGCCCTACACCAAGTTCTCCTGTGGGAGCAAAGAGCCTCCTAAGTGTGTCCCAGGCATACTCCAAATGTCAGTAGCTCTTACTGAGCCATGGTAGCCTGCCAGATACTCTGATAAGCCCTGGATGTGTGATGGCCGTTTCATCTCTTCATCATAAACACTCACGAGGGCACTATAGTCTTCACTCCGGCCTGACCTTGATGAAGCCCAGAGAAGCAACTTGAAACCACACAGAGGTGGGCGGCCGAATCAGAGCTGTTGAATGACAGTCAGGATCCCTGCCCTGCCCCCAGCCACCAGCAAAGGGTCTTTGCTTTTTAATCTCTTTTCCCATCATTTTTTTCAAAACTTGGAAACTAGGGTAAATGGGAAAGGAGAGCTCATCCCTCCCTCCCTGTGTTATGCCCCAATGGGCTCCTTTCCTTTGGACTCAGCTTTCAGGTAATTACAACCAGACATGACCAGCCTCCATTCCAGCTGCCAGTCAGGGCCTCAGGAAGGTTCAGGTGGGGCCCTCAAACCTGGGAGTGTGAGGGGCAAAGGAAGGACTATTAGCACAGTGTGGGTGAGATCAGGGTCCCCGCAACACTGGGGAAGTGCCAGGAGGACCTGCCCCAATTCCAGAATCTCTTCCTGGTCCCTCCCACTGGATAGATGTCCTGGAAGCTGGTGGAGAGGGGATCCAGCTGAAGCCTAGGCCCAAAGCAAGGAGGGAAGAGGAGCAGAGGGCTGGCCTGGAAAGGCAGATACAGGACCCCAAGAAATATCACAAGTATCCCCCTAGGCTATGACAGACACCACTGCAATTCCCAGTTAACAGTGTGACATGCATCTAGCATCTCACCAAGAAGATTGGGGATCTACCTTGAAAATGAAAACCAGCCCTTTGGGGTTAGGGTGTGGCTCGGTTGGTAGAGTGCTTGCCTAGCATTCACAAAGCCCTGAGTTCAAGCCCCCGCACTGCATATAAAACTGGTTGTAAGGTCCACATCTGTAACCCCAGCACTTGGAAGATGGAGGCAGGAAAATTGCAAGTTTATTTTAGAGCATTCTAGGCCAGGTTGGGCTACATGAGTTCCTGTCTAAAAGATATTGCCTTTTAAAAATGTTAATTGGCATAGTAATTTTAATTGTCGAAGACAATTTAATGATTCCCTACATATGTATAATGTAAATCTGGGAGGCTAGAGAGATGACTCAGTGGTTAAGAGCACTGACTGCTCTTGCAGAAGACCCAGATTCAAATGCCAGCACCAACCTGGCAGCTAACAACCATCTGTAACTCCAATTACAGGGGATCCAATGCCCTCTTCTGTCCTCCGAGGGCATTGCATGACATGGGTATACTTGCATACATGCACACAATATACACATACACATAATAAAAATAAAGCAAAAAAAACTTTAAGAAAATGTAAGTTTGGTATGCAGTAGTCAATAATCCTTAACTATTGGAAATCTTTGTATTAGAAACCTAGGCAAACACTCCACCACCAAGCCGTATATCTAGCTTTCTTTTTACTTACCGTTAAAAAAAAAAAAGATTACTATTGGAGCTTGAGATAGGGGTCAAAGGATAACCTTGGAGAGTCGATTCTCTCCCTCCACCTTTACATGGGTTCCAGGGATAGAACTCAGGTCACCAGACTTAAACAGCAAGCGTCTTTATCCACTGAGCCATCTCATTGACCCTCAACTTTGTGCTTTTGAGACAGGGCCTTCCTAAGTTCTCCAGGCTGACTTTGAACCTGCCATCTTTCTGCCTCAACTTTCAGAGTAGATTCCAAGCCTATCTGCTACCATGCCTGGCTCTCCTCTAGTTCCCAAGTCTATAATGATGCTCTAATAGAGAACAGCGATTATTCCTTCCACCTAGCGTGTTGTGGTGCCCACCGTCTAGCCTCCCTCTTCCTGTCCCCAGCCCTTCCAAGTCCCTAGTGGCCTCTGCTCCCTCTTCTTCGACAGCATTTTCAGCCTCCACATGTGAGTGAGAACATGACATTTGTCTTTGTCCTCCCTTAGTATAATGTCCTGAAGAGCCATCTTTCTTGCTACAAACAACAGCTTTAAAATGTCATTTTCTCCCTCTTTGTCCTCATCCCTCCATATCCAGGGAGGCTGAGGACTGCTGGAAAGCCAGACAAGGCTGGGGACTAGATCCCAGGTTATCCTTGGCCTCAGTCTGTTCCCAGGATCAAGTAGAAAGGGACTAGTGGATCAGGGATAGTTAAGCCATCTCTTTGCTTAGCCATGTATTGACCATGATCATGTTTACTATGAGGGCCTAGCTGTTAGACCCAGGAGCTCTTGGTCCGGTGGGCCTGGTTCAAGTCTTGCTTATACAACTTGCTTACTTACTTGTAAGTTTCAGTAGCTTTACCGCTCCATGCTTCAGCGGTAAATGTATGGAATTCTCTCTTTGGAATTCTGTTGACCGGGAAATGAATGGATACAGCGTGCTTTAGCACAGAGCCTCTGTTGCCAGTCACTGTTATCCATAGCATGGGGTGATACTGTTATCTGTCCTTGTAGTCTATAAGGACTTGGGGGAGAGAGTGACTTGTTTTCTGAATGGCACAGTCATCAAGAGTAAAGATCCTGGCTCTCTGGAGTTTTAGACCCTCATGGGGTGGTGGTAGTATATTTGATACTGCACCTGTCCTGGTACAGTGGGGTCCCTGTAGTCTACACAAGGAGAGCTAGTGCCCTCTGGGCTGCTTCCCAGTGTCTGAGGGTAGAGAGCACCACCTGGGCAGAAGCCAGCAGAGGTACCCAGCCCTCGCCTCTGTCTCCAGGCCTCATATGAGTCCCACAGTCTCCCACGAGCTGCCTGTCCATTGTGTGGGCATAAAGCCCACAAAGGTAAGGCACTCAGGGCTCCTGGCCCCTGTATTTCAGGGCTTGGGGCAGCTGAGGGCAGCCCATGCAGCCCTGGAGGAGGAGTACTTACAGGCCTGCAGAGAGCAGCACCCGACCCCACAGCCCGACGCCTCCAAGGAGACTCCTGGGACCCTTCATCTCTGCAGGTAGGTGCTGGGGAGACAGGCCTAGGAGGACAAGTGAGATGGGCCCCTGGTTCCCTCTGTTCCAAGAGGGAAGCACTTCATGCTCATAATTCATATGCAGAAGCAGAGGGAGATCCTGTCCCAGTGAGCAGCAGGGCTGGAGCTGAGATTCCAGCCTCTCTTGATGCCCCTTGGAGATGAGATCACAAAGCCTCTCACTAGACAATGGGGAAGCTGAGGCCAGAGGAAGCTGGGATCCACTTAGCATCCCACAGCCTGGGGATGGCAGAGGGGACCAGATGAAGTCTCCTGGCTCCCAAAGGAATTCTTCCATCTTGGTGTTGAAGTTCTCAGCACTGTCTGTCAATGGTCTATGTAGACTCCTGGGGTCTCTGCTTTGACATGTGGCTTGGCATGCTCATGTTTCCCCCTTCTAGGGGGCTGGAGGCAGAGATATACCACCTGGGGCAGCGCCTGGAAGAGCTACAGGACCACATGGAACAGACCCAGGGAAAGCCAAAGTTGTGCAGGCCGGAGCGGCCTCGGGACATCGCTCCAGCCACATCCTTCCCACACTGCCCAGCTCACCTGCCTTCGGAACCAACCCCCTCACCAGCTACCCAGACTTACCCTGAGGTACTGTTTTGCCCCATCACACTGGGCTGGTCCCCATTTCTTTCTTTTATTAATCAATTAATTAATTAATTCCGTGTTAATTTCGTCACTACATGTTTATAAAGTGTGTGCCATATTCCAGACACCATGATTCAGTGAGAGCTGGAGAAAGTGGGGAAGGTACCACGTGGAGTTTTCTGAATAGATGAACTAGTTGCAGAGTTATTTAATTATTGTTTTGATGATACTCTGCAAGAAAAGTATGGACTCCATGGAAGTAAAAAGTAGGGCACTGTGATTGATCAGGACAGAGTCACAGAAAATGTCTCTGAAGAGTTAGGTTTAAATGAGATCTGCAGGTAAATAAGAATTGCTCAGTGCAAGGGAGACAAGCTATCCAGCAGGGAGAGGAGCACACTGTGGCCACAGTTTGGAAAGTGAGGGGGCCATAGTCTGCCCTGTGACTGGAGACACTGGCATAGGCCTGTGATATGGGGCCCTTATTTCTCATGTCCCAAGCTGGAATTAGACAGGAGATTTTAGATTTTCAACAGGGGATGACAGAAGATACCCCTGGGTAAACCCGAGTATGACTAGTGAAGAGGTGGCGGGCAGAGGAAGAGACCTATGCTTGAACTTGAGCAAGATTCGGAAAGTGTGCTTGACTACATTTGGATGGCAGTGAGAGGGAAGACAGCAGGCTTGGTCTCCAGGTCCCCAGCCTGGAGTGAGGGACAAGGAGGGCTGTTTGCAAAGTCCAAGACACCAGGCATGGGCTATGCATGGAAGGTGCTTTTCACAGGGCTCTCCCTCCACACCATGGTCTGCTGAGAGACAACTCATCAGGGTGAGTTGGGTGGGTATCTCCCTTGGGTGGGTGAACTGTGGTCACACAGATGACATGGTGGCACTTTTGTGTCCCCAAGCTCCTGTTCATGTTCCATGCAGACTTGCCTGCTAGTGATAACCAGGGTGGGGCTTGCACATTAGGTGGGTAGGCTGAGGAAGGCTGGCCCAGAGGATTGGGAGCTCACCCTGTGCCTTGCCCAGCAAACAGAACACCCTGGCAGGTGGCATTTCCTGTGCTTACAGGAAGCCCTGAGGCCATGTGCTCTTGCAGTGAAAGACTAAAGATTGAGTGGGCAGACTCACAGGGGAGAGTGAGGACAGGTGCCTCTGGCAGGCAGTCTGGGAAGATCTGCCCTGGCTTTGACATATTATGCCAGCCTCAGTTTCTGCGTGAGGCATGTGCTGGGGTACTGCTAAGAAGTCATGTCTGCAGCATGCCTGGATGTACTGGTCTCAGCCCATAGCAGTCAACTGGGATGATCCCATGGTCCAGGTTCCATATGTCTCACATATATGAATGAATAACAAGTGATGGGCTGACAGGCTGCTGTGTTCCCTGATCTTCAGTCCCTGGCATGAATGGTATAGGCAGGTGCTCAAGAGTGTCAATTAATCTCTGTCCCTCACCTCATTGGCTCAGCCTGCCATCACCACCACTGCTGGTGGCCCCTGCAAACTGCCCATGAATGAGGAGAGGAGCCCCAGCAGTGTCAAGGCAGAGGGCAGCCCAAGGGACCAACTAGCTCCACTCAGAGACAGGGAGCTACAGATGGAACAGAACTTCCATGGCCTCCTGGAGCAGTGAGTATCAACCAATAGGAGGGAGACACTGTCCTCTGACAGTGACCAGCTGGCCACCCTGGGCCTCACCTGCACTTTAGGCAGAGGTGACGCCCTCTGGGCATCCTCCTGCAGGTACCTCAGCGTGAAGTCCCTTCCTGAAGCCTTGAGGATGGAAGATGAGGAGGAGCTGGAGGAGGAGGAGAAGCTGGAAGATGAGGAAGATCATCACAGCACCTTGGAAGTTGATGGGCCGACTGCAGCTTTGGGAAAAGCCAAAGCCAGCAGGGTGCCATCTGGACAGCACCTGACACAGGCTGAGGAAAGTCACAGGGCTGCTGTCCAGTAAGTCACTAAGCTTCCCTCACATGCTTCAGTGCTCCACACTGACTGCAGCCACAGGGTCAGCATTGGCAGAGCAAGTCAGATGACTCTCCGTGGTGCAGGTTTGGCTAGCCTGTCTATGTCTCCACAGTGAGGCATGTGTGCCACTGAGCACTGCAGGGGCTTCTAGATGCTGGGATGTGACTTTAATAAAGCCACATTAGATAGCATTGTTTCCTACTCTCTCTGACCTTTTAATAGTACCAAAAAGAAAGTCTCAGCCCTGTTGTTATGTCTTTAATGCCTCTCGTGTGTGTGTGTGTGTGTGTGTGTGTGTGTGTGTGTGTGTGTGTGTGTGTGTAGAGGGAGAGAGACGAGAGAAAGGAGAGAAATCTCAGTAGGCCCCAGCCCAGAGTCATAAGCAGGCAATGAGACTCATCTAGAGCCAGCCTGGAGGCCCAGGCCTGGGAATCCTAACTTCTCAGAAAACCAAGGCAGTAGGATAAAAAATTCCAGGCCCACCTGGGCTGTAGAATGCGTTCAATACCAGCCTGAGTAATCAAATGAGACTGTCTCAAAATAAAAAGTAAAATATAAGCTAAAAGTCAGATATGGTGGCACAAACTTATAATCCCAGCACTTAGGAGGTAGAAGCAAGAGATTAAGAGATCAAAGCCAGAGCCCAGTGGGTGGTGCGTGTTGTTAGTCCCAGCACTTGGGAGACAGAGATAGGCATATCTTTGTGAGATTAAGGTCAGCCT